TCAGAGAAAGAAAACAATTTCACATGTCCACAAAAAGTGAAGATGAGACTGTAGCGGAGTGGTATGCTCGAGTTAAACAATTGGCATTGGAATGCAAATTTGGCTCAAATCTGGAAGCGTTTGTATTAAACCAATTTGTGATGAGCCTTCCCAACCCCATATATGAAAGAATATGTGAAGAAGACGAAAATCTAACTCTGGCTGATGCACTCAAGAAGGCGATGATCATGGAGACGAAGATCAGCACAAGGAAGACAGAACACAACGTCAACTACATGCATCAAAAGAACGGGACTAGTCAATGGCAGAGGCAAAGAGGCGAGAACAGAGATCAAGCAAAGAGCAACGGCAGAAGTCATTTCAAGGGCAACCGAAACGTGAGTTACAGAGGCGGCAGAAGCGACGGTGACGGCGACGGCGAAACCGACTGCGACGCTGGCAGAGAAAAGAAGCAGCAGCCATGCACACACTGTGGCTGGCGAAATCATAACTCAAACAATTGCAAGTATAAGGCATGCAAATGTCACAGCTGTGGAAAAATAGGTCACTTGGCGAGCATTTGTAAAAACAAATCAAAAAAATCCGTAAATTATGTATCTCAAACAAAACATTCTGATAATAATTTTGATAATGATAATTATAACTTTTCTATCTATAGCGTTGATACAACCTCAACTAGTGGAGTGTATTATTTACCTGTAAAAATTGATGGAAACATAACGAAAATTGCTTGCGACACTGGTGCACCGTGCACATTGGTTCCAAAAACATTTTACGAAAGCTTAAATACCAGCAGACCACTTAGAAAATGTCTAGTTCCATATGTAGATTACAATGGAGATTCAATCAAAGTTATTGGTGAGTACGATGCAACGATCGAATATCGAGGTCTAAAAAAACAAATTGTTGTTGTTGTAACCAATGCAGTGAGTCCACCTTTGCTAGGTAGAACATTTTTGAGAGCTTTTAATTTTGAGTTAATGCAGGTGAACAATGTGTACGTAAATGAACCAAATTCTGTAATTACAGAACAGATTAAATCGGAGTTTGCTGAAGTTTTTGAGCCTCGTTTAGGTTCATATACTACGAATACGATATCGTTACTATTAAAAGAAGATGCAAAACCAATATTTTTCAAGCCTAGGTCAGTACCATTAGCATGGAAAGAAAAGATTGAAGTGCAGTTACGAAAATTCATAGATGATGGAATTTTAGAGCAAGTTGTTAGTTCTGAATGGGCAACACCTTTAGTACCGATTTTAAAACCAAACGGTGACATACGAATTTGTGGTGACTATAAGGTTACATTAAACCGGTCTTTAGTCGACGTAAAGTATCCACTACCTCGAATAGACGACATTTTTGCAGCGCTTGAAGGGGGTACACTGTATTCAAAACTTGACCTGTCAAATGCTTACAATCAGCTAAATTTAGATGAGCAATCTCAAAATTTGTGTACTTGGAGCACACATATTGGACTATTGAAAGTTAAACGCTTACCATTTGGTATAAAAACTGCAGCAGCTATTTTTCAAAAAACAATGGAAGGGTTGTTTCAGGGTATGCGAGGAGTTGTGGTTTATCAAGATGACATAACAGTTACAGGACGAGATCTTCAAGAACATATTTCAAACCTAAAAGCTGTACTTAGAAAACTGAAATCAGTTGGACTTAAATTAAATGACAAGAAATGTGAGTTCTTTAAATCCAAAATTTGTTACCTAGGATTTTCAATTGACAGGATAGGACTGAGCAAAAACAATGATAGAGTTGCGAGTGTATTGTTTGCACCGGCTCCGGAAAACGTATCACAGCTTAGAGCTTTCATAGGCATGGTAAATTATTATTCAAAGTTTATCAATAATTTCGCTCAGATAATGAGTCCTTTATATGCATTATTAAAGAAAAATACAAAATTTAATTGGACACGCGAATGTCAGAGTGCATATGAAGAGGTAAAGAAAGAAGTAACTTCTGAACAAGTTTTAGTTCACTACAACCCAGATCAACCGTTAGTATTAACGACTGATGCTAGCAGTCATGCAGTTTCAGGTGTTTTATCACATAAATGCAATGAAGATATCAAACCAATAGCATTTGTATCAAGAGCATTATCCAAAAGCGAGCATAATTACAGTACAATCGAGAAAGAGGCCCTGGCTATAGTGTTCTGTGTGAGTAAATTAAGACAGTATCTTTTAGGAAACAAGTTCATCCTTCGAACAGATCACAAACCATTACTAAGCATATTTGGAGACCTGAAAGGACTTCCATTGATGGCCTCTGCACGAATGCAAAGATGGGCACTGACTTTGTCAGGTTTTCAATATACAGTTGAACACATAAAGGGGACCTTAAATATAGCAGATGGACTCTCAAGAATGCCTCAATGGGAAACGGCTGTACCAAACGAAGACTATAATTACATACATTTTATACAGTCCGAAAAGGTGTTCAAAATTAGCTTCAAAGAAATAGCTCGTGAAACACGACGTGACCCAATATTATCAAAAGTTTGTGAGGCAATTAACACTGGTTCGAAGACAAGATTAAATGGCAGCGAGTTTTCTGCCTACATCTCAAAAACAAATGAACTTTCAGTGGAATATGATTGTATCTTATGGGGACACAGAGTAGTAATTCCAACCAAACTGAGACAAGCTATTTTAGCAGAATTTCATGCATCGCATTTGGGAATAGTAAAAACCAAAATGTTAGCACGTTCTTATGTGTGGTGGCCTTGCATAGATTCTGAAATTGAGAAATTAATTCGAGATTGTATTCCTTGTCAGGAACTACAATCAAGTCCAGAAAAGAGTCTGTTAATACCGTGGAAATCCACAGGAAAGGCTTGGAGTCGAGTACATATAGACTTTGCAGGACCAATTAGAGGTTTTCATTTATTGGTTATTATAGATTCTTATACAAAATGGGCAGAAGTATTCAAAACGAAGGAAATAACTTCATTGTTTACTATCAACAAGCTTAGAGAAGTATTTTGTCGATATGGTTTACCAGACGTGTTAGTTAGTGACAATGGACGACAGTTTACTTCTGATGATTTTAAAACGTTTATGAAAAACAATGGTGTTAATCACATTTTTACTGCTCCAGGACATCCAGCGACTAATGGTCAAGCAGAAAATTTTGTAAAGACTGTTAAGAAATCACTATATGCAAACATAAAGGCTAATGAAAGACAAGATTTTAATACAATTTTAAATAGATTCTTGATCGATTACAGAAATACGATTCATTGTACTACGGGCGAATCTCCTGCTAAATTATTTTTTGGTCGTACACTAAGAACAAGATTTTCGTTGTTAAAACCACCTACGGTCGAAAGCATAATAAATAAAAAACAGACTGAGTGTGTTGTAAATCACAAAGGTAGACGAAGCACAGAATTTTTTAAGGGTCAAAAAGTTATGGTTAGGGACTACAAAAATCCTAACAAAGCAAGCTGGACTCAGGCAACTGTAAAACAACAACTGGGCCCGCGTTCGTATTGTTGTATTTTGGCGAACAATAACAGAGAAATAAAACGTCACCTGGATCAAATTAGAAACCAAAGCACTAACAATCATACATCGCCTAATGCGAAAACACCTGATGTCGAAAGCAATTGTTCAGTAGATGACAATTCCAAAACCAACAATGAACAAATAGTTTCTCAACCAACACCCACCAGGAGAGAGTTGAGACCACGTGAGGCAGGGAAGGTAGTAAAGCGTATTTAACAATAAAATAATATAAAGAAAGGAATTATGAAATCAAATTATGTACAAATTAAACACTGAAACAAATACTAAATAGATTAAGAAGAAAGAAAAATACGAAATCACATAAATTTTATATACGATAATTAGATTAAGTACACAAATCAAATTGTTATAAGAAAATAGATTTGTAAATGACATGTATATTAAACATCTAAGGAGAGGCGTGTTAGGTATTATATTAATATCCATATACGGTCACACCATCCAAGGGATATAGAATAAAAGAGAATCTTGAAGACAACGCGTGCTTAAATCTGAGTGTCAATACACTACAATCACATACATCATTGTCAATGTCAAAGTGTCAAAGCAAACTTGCAGCACACAAAACCAAAGCAAACGGCGCATAGTTCTCGGCTCGACTCGGCTCGGCTCTCAGTTACCCAAACGAGGAGGCTCTCCTCTCCTCTCCTCTCCACGCCTCTCTCTTCGCTACCCAGTGTCAAGACTCATCTCGTGCCGGCCTCGAGTCAAGTGCAATAAACTCCTTTGCAGAATTCAGTGAATTTTGAATTTTTGGCCACGCCCACTGCCCCCATCATCAGTGGCAGTTATGATGTTGCAGCAAACAGTAAGCAGCATCAGCATTAGCAGCAGCAGCAGCAGAATGCAAACTGCAATTTGCGAACAAAAACTTTGCTTGGGACAAACTTTGCCGCCTCACCGAGTCTCTCCCTCTCCCTCGCTCTCTATCTCTGTATCTGTCGCTCTGTTGTCCCATGCTCTGGTTAGCAAACAGCCAACAATTTGAACTGACAAAGTCCGGCGATAACAAAAAATAATTTAAGTACTTTAGTTGTGCATCGAATAAATTCAAAAAAAGTGTATTAAACAAACAGGTAACGGTAGACCAGGACAAGGAATATCAAGATACAAAGACAGGTGCAGAGGAATAGTTATTTCCATGGATAGCTCACTCTTCCCTTGTAGCTCTTTAACATATGTATATGTATGCTTCTATGAACAGCATAGTGGCTTCGTTTGAATGAATTCCAAGAAAATAAACAGCTAAAGCGAAAAAGAGACAGAAAAAACGAAAATCAGCGAGTGAGCGATGGAAACGGCAGCAACATAGGGACTGCGGCAGAGAGACTGCAGAAGAGAGGCTGCGGAAGAGTGACCGCAGAAGAGAGACCGCCGAAGAGAGACCGCCGAAGAGAGACCGCCGAAGAGAGACCGCCGAAGAGAGGCTGAAGAAGAGAGACCGCAGAAGAGAGGCTGAAGAAGGGAGACCGCAGAAGAGAGACTGCAGAAGAGTGACTGCAGAAGCAAGCTGATGCAGTGCAGGGCTGCCGATTTCGCTTTTTCTCCGTAAGATCTGGTTTTTTTTTAAGGCCAACTGCGGAACAAATTTGTGAATGTCGGGAAGCAGGAATTCTGGAATTTGTATAAATTAATTTGGCTTTCTTTCAGCTTTTTTACTGCGTGAAAATGTGGCAGGTTCATCATTATATTTGATCGATATTTGCCAATACCTCCACCAGCGTACAAGATAATTTTGAAACGACGTGCGACGTATGTACGTGCCTCCCAGGTGCATACATTACCGACATCGTCTTGCTTCATGCACCATGCTTTACCCCATCGACTTTCACCGGGTAAGTTCTCCTTGTTTGCCCCCTTTTCATCTTGCCCATTGACTATTTTTTCTTGGTTCTTCGTCTTTTATTCCCTCCAGCTCTTTCAGGAATACCTCTTGCGTGCCCGCGGACACCGATATGCCCACCATCGTTTACCAGCGCGTTCACCCTTCTGGCCATCCGGATCATATGCCGAATCAAACGCTCGAGACGAGTAAGTTAATCAGTATATAATTGTGGACATATTTTAAAATATATTTTCCTTCACAGAGGACTTACATATGTACCCAACGATTTGCCACAAACCGATCCGATTCCCCCCGTCATGTGACGTCCTATCCAAGTATTACCGAGGACAAACCGCCTATCCCCGCCAGACAGATTCGTATCCCAGCAGGACAGCAGCGCACCCATTGCAAGACCCGAATCGCACAAGCCATCGTCATCCTTTGACCTGGCCATCGACAACAAGGACTTTGACTATGGCAACCAAGGGATTGGGGGGCAACTAGACTGCATAGATCTCGTTGTTGTTAGGTTTACGGAGATACGCGTCCATATATTAGGATAGTAGATTCAAATGTTCTCCACTTGTATATATATTTATACTAACGTATCCTATGCTAAGCTAAGATCTGATGAATAAAATGATTGAAAACTCATCCTTTCTGTCTTCTGTATTGGGGACACTATCGGAGAAAACTAAATATCCTAAAATGTCCTTGATCCTTAATAAGGAGAATTTCAAATCTGGGATACCAGGCCAACAGAAATCAGCAGAGGGTCACTAGTTTTTTAAATTTCTTTAAGTCTATTTTTTCCGTTTTTTCCTATATTCTTTGGCCGTTCAAACTGGTGTAACGGCCGAATTTCCAATCTGGGATACCAGGCGAACAGAAATCAGCAGAAGGTCACTAGTTTTTTTAATTTCTTTTAATTTATTTTTTCCGTTTTTTCCTATTTTCTTTGACCGTTTAAAATGGTGTAACGGCCGAATTTCAAATCTGGGATACCAGGCCAACAGAAATCAGCACAGCGTCGCCGGTCTTTTTAAATTTCTTTTAATTTATTTTTTCCGTTTTTTTCCTATTTTCTTTGACCGTTTAAAATGGTGTAACGGCCGAAATTCAAATCTGGGATTATTATTAGTATTTTATTTTAGTTTACTTGTTCTATTTTCACCCTGTTCTCGTTTCTCAAACCCGTAATCCCCAATTCCGATCGCAAAGGTTGCTTGCTGCTGATTTCTGTTCGCCTGGTATCCCACATCTGAAATTCCCGATTTTGGCCATTTGAGCGGTCGCAGGTTGGGGGTTTTTGTTGTACAACAACAAAAATTTGGTGTACAACAATTGGCAACAACAACTTTTGTGGTTTTCTGCGTTATTTTTGGCCCGATCTAGGCGTGCCGTGGCTTTCCGTACTCGGAATAGCTTCCTTGGTCTAATGTATTCCTTATCAAGGACCAAGGATCAAGGATATTTGCTCCAGAGATATACATCTTGTTTTTGCTTTATTTGTGTCCCGATCGCGACGTGCGACGTCTTCCTACAATCAAAAAAATGTCCTTGATCCTTCGCTAAGGACTCCGACAAACCCCAGCCATGCATATTTAGCTTTCTCGGCTATTTGTGGCCAGATCGGGACGTGCGACGACTTCTTGATTAATTGAGTCCTTATCAAGGATCAAGGACCTTTTTTCCAATCGAAAATATTTGGTTTTCTAGCGGTATTTGTGAACCGATCTGGGCGTGCCACGCATTTTCTTGATCAGGATAGTTTCCCCAATACAGAGAACAGAAAGGATAAGTTTTCATTCATTTTATTCATCAGAACTTAGCTTAGCATAGGATAGTTTAGTACAAATAAATAAACAAGTGGTACAAATTTGTATCTATGATTTTATATTATATTATAATCCTTAAACCCAAAAGAAATGAGATCTATCCAGTAGCTCGCGTAGCACCTTCCTTGCTTGCCGTAGTCCAGGTCCTTGGTTGCCGTAGTCAAGGTTCTTGTTATCGATGAAGGATGACGATGTCTTGTTAGGTTCCAATCTTGCATCGGGTGCGCTTCTGTCCTGCTGGGACACGACTCTGTCTGGCTGGCGATACTTGGGCAGGACTCCGCCTGCGGAGGGGAAATCGAATACGACTCGGTCCTCTGTGAAGGAGGATATATTTTAAAATATGTCCACAGTTATATACTGATTAACTTACTCGTCTCGAAGCTGAAGTCCAGCGTTAGACGAATGCCAGAGCCGAAGACCCTGGGTCTTCTGACATGTTTGGTGTGTGAACTGGCACATCTATATACTGCAAGGTTAGTGGAAGGACCAATAGCATTCTGTGAATAAGGTAAGGTTTTATTGTCAGTGGAAGGATGTTACTAAATGCTGCTTTGACTACGAAGCAGTCAGTCGTCCGAACTCGTATCTGAAGATAATCCCGTAGAGCTGGAATGGTTAATGAAAATACTGTAAAAATATATTAAGTATTACTTTAATAAAAAATTGTTAAACCCATTAACTACGCTTGCTTTTTTTTGAAAAATGAAAGCTGAAAGCTTTTGTTTTGTTGAAAAGTTGGCGGCACTGATCCAGGGCCTCTTTGGCGCTTCAACTTGTGGTCCTTCCCTCTCTTTCTCTACGATGATGTTCATGTGCAAAGAACGCTTTCTCGCACTCACTAGGCACACCCTCTATAAAGTATACCATGGGCACAGCAGTCAAACAACAATCGAGTGTCAATTTGACGAGCAGATTGTACAGTAATAGACGCTCTCGACATTAACAATGCACAGGGAGCACCCCGTGGCCCGTCCGCCCGTCCTGTCCGTCCGCCCGCCCTGTCCGTCTGTCCTGTCCTTCCATTGTGTGTGTCTGCGTACGCCGCTCGCATAATCAATTATGCGTCTGCAGTGGGTCCAAAGTTCTGTAAACTTGGCAATTTATTTGCACCGGAAACTCAACATAAATCAAACTAATTTCTCCTGGGATTTTTCAACGCAAGTTTCCACGTGTCTCGCTCCTCGCCTGCTCTCCTCCTCCCCTCCTCCAGCTCCTGTCATTCGTTATTGTTGGTCACGTGTTTATCCGGTGAGGGGGATGATGGGTGGGGGGAATGGGGAATGGGGCATGGCAAATTGAATTTGTCGCGTTGTGTTGCATAATTTGAGGCGCATTGTGCGTCTAAAGCGTCGAAAGTAGAAAAAAGCGAAAGCCCCCAAAGAAATCAAGTAAACAACAGTACAACGACTCACAGATACCCAAATAGAATTACCCATTCCACTCCACTCCACTCCCTGTAGTGCTCATATTTACGAGCAATACCACAGTTATGCTTTTGCTTTGCCAATTTTGTCACGCTTCTCCATTCAAGGGAACCGCATTGTGGTGTTATTTCCTTTTCCTTTGAGAGGTTATTTCAAAGCCGCTCATCAGCAAAGCTCCACGAGAGCTCCAAAGTTTACTCGATGTACTAGATACACACATATAACGTTTATTGGTATTTAGTGTAAGTTTTATACTAGCTCTGGGGTGGTTTTTAATGATAATTGCTTGACTACGACTTGAGCGACGGACGACTTAAGACGGTGGTTGAAAACTGAGTTATGAGAGTCCTCTTTCGCATATTTCGATATGAGCTCCAGCTCTTTGTTTTAGTAAGACAGAACCCTATGCCTTGCCCTATAATCCTCATCAAAATAGTTTATGGGATTGTAAAACCACTCAATGGTTGAGCGCTCCTCCAACAATTATGATTTTCTTCAGTCAACCCTCTTTAGCCACGCCTCCGCGCCTCTGGCCCCTTTTGATGCTGCTCTTGTGATTTTCAAACAATCTCCTCATCAGCCGCATCCTCGAATCCAACCGCAGCGCCTGGCATCGTCGTCAACAGAATCCAGCCCGCCTTGTTGTGGGTTCACGGCTCGCGGCTCGCGGCGCTCTCTGTCGAGCTCATGCACACGGCACCTGCCCTGCGCGTCTCTCCTGTCTCCTGTCTCCTGTCTCCTGTCGCACACCTGGCAAATTGAAAATGTTTGTTGCCGCTGCAGGAGTCTGCAAAGTTGTGGAATCGAGATTGCACTTTCCCGTAACGATGCCGATGCTGATGCCGATGCTGGTGGTGGTGGTGGCAGAGGGGGCCAACGATGAAGTTGATGCTGATTTTCAGCTAATAACTGCGTCCCGTGGGACACAAGTTTGCATAATTATCAATCAAGATTTCCTAATATGCCCACCACATGGTGGCCTTAGAATTGGTTTGTACACTGTTAGAAGTCCGGAAATCAAGGAGATATCAAATGATAGGTATTTATGGTATGTACACCCAGAGAAAGGAGGCCTGAGTTACACACAGATATTTCGATGCACCGAGAGTGAAAATATCACATTGGATGATTTTTCTAATTAATTTCTAATTTATTTTGACATTAATATGACAGGGTCTGATGTATACGTATTTTATATTTAATATAAATATATTCATGTTCAAATTAAATATATTTCCCTCCAATTTAATATAAATTATTTCTTTTAAAGTGTTTTATATTTCGTTTAATTATGGGCCATTAATAAAAAGGCCGTTTAATGCATTTTCATTTAAATCAAAGTGAATTCTTTTTGTATATCAGTGTAGAGAAGATGGATAGATAGAAAGATACGATTCTGATGGTGTGGTCCCAGTTTAAAATGCGTATTTCAATCATATTAATGGAACCACCTATTATATACAAATTATTAGCTTCCTTCAAATACGCTTATAAAAATCGTTTATTAAAATCATAAATCTGCATTAAATGGTGTACGAGAATAGTATGTGTGTGTGTGTGTGTGTGTATCTGTGTGTGCGCTCCTCTTTCATCTGCGCAACGCATTTTTCATACTTTTGAGCCGTACATAAATTTATTGTTTGGGGGCTCGTTCGTCTCTTTTTTAATAAACTCTCTCTAGCCGCCCCTCCACTCTGGGCCCTGGCTCTCCACTAAGCTTGATCCGGGCAGGGCTTATGTCCTGAAAGGCTTCCTTTAATTTATTTCCCATGCCACACACACACACACACACATTTGAAAAAAGTTAAGTGTGGCTGGAAAAAGTGCGGAATGATTAAAAACCACTTTAATATATCTTCTTTGTTACATTTGCCTGCCACTCCAGGAAGAGGACTATTGCCGGGAGGACTGGTCTGTGGCAAGCGGGTGGCGCCACGAAAGCCCCCGTTGAGTGACAGGCGAAGCTTTAGCCTGCGGCTGGACAGAGTGCTCCAGGATAACGGGTTAGTAGCCGTCTAAAAGACCCAGACAGGGACAGAGACACATGAGAGCCCCACAGCCCCCCCTCCAACAACTCATTTTAGAAAACATTCAAAAAAACCCAACGAAAAGCAGACAAAAAAGCAGTAGGACTCTAATCAGTAATATATTGACGGGATAAGGATTAAGTAACAAAGGCCTGAAATCCAAGGAACTGCCGGCAGTAGTCCGCCAAGTGGCGATCACTTTCATAGACTCAATTGCGGTAGAGATACCAAAACTGACTTAAGGAGATTTCCAATATCCGCGAATGATTACGTACGGTTGTAGGTAGAAAACCTGCAAAACAAACCCCTTAGATCTGAGAGACATGACTTTTAAGAATCCGGATAGAGGCAGCAGCTCCAGA